ATCAAGAGTACTTATATTCAGGTTTCCCTTTTAAATTTCCAGTCTGTTCCTCAGACCCTGCTGAGTTTAACGAGGTAACTGTCCTCTCTCCTTTAAGGAGAACAAATCAAAAGCAACACGATGGCCAACGTGTTTCTGCTCACTTAAAGTAAATGAAATACTGAGAGAAGATGGACAATGTTCTGTAAAAATAGACAGTGCTATGAACACTTTGATCCTCAACAACAGTGGTTATTACAATTTGACAAAAAATATGCCTTTAAATTAAAAGAGAATGTTAAAACCCCCAAACTAATGAGCTACCTACAAGAAGCACATGTTTGCATGCAGAACTAACAAGGAAAATGAGCTCCAAAAGTAAGACCAGTAAAGAACACGGGTCCCAGAGGTAATGCCTGAACATTGTTCAGTTCCTAGGCACACCATACCTCCATGGAGAGGAGGGAAATTTAACACAAAATCCTACATTCACATACATCTGCTTGAAAAGAAACGTTAAGCTACTTGCCAGTGTCTGAAATACCATCACTCTGGGGCTGAGCTTCATAGGCAAGCATCCCTGTCAATTTGGATCCAGGGACCAGCATCTCTTGTTAGGTTCATTGCATAACTTTTTTTTTTTCCGTAAGAGCTGATCAAGGTTCACTCTTACAAATGACAGCAGAACGATGCTTGGGACTCCCCAACTGAGCTGAGCTGACTAGAACCACCATAGAGAACAGAAGCAGCACTTGGCATTAGCCTTGCTCCATTTCCACTGTGCACAAGGGAACAGATGCTCCTCAGTTCCTCTGCATTTCTACCTCCTTTTCAAAATATGACAGAGAGGAGAACCGATGACACCTGCCCTGCTATGCCATAGCCCTCAACCTGCTTCCCTCTGCCCAGTGAAGAAGTGCAGTACCTCAGCTGCTCACCTCCATCCTTCCATCTCACTCTCTCCTTTTCCCTCCTCTATGCTAAGGGAGAAGCAGGGAAGCTGTCGATGTTTCTCCAGCTAACGCTCTCCTTCTAAGTATCAGTAGGGAAAAGCGCAGAGGAAAAAAAACCAACCTGGTCCTTGAGCAAACGCTTAAACCTGTGGCTGTGGACGAACTCTTGTAGGGGGCTCTGCTCCCCACTCTCAACAACCTCCTAACAGTCTCTCACAGCTGACAACCACCTCTATAAGATTCATCAGCTGTCCAGGATTCTTGATCAGAGCCCAAGTTTTCCACTCAAGGCCGTTATATCAAAAATAGATACAACCATCCCATTCCCACCTACTGATTCTTCCCATCCTGTCTTGAAAAGGTGTCTGCCAGAGATGCCCATCAGAGGGGCTCTCAGCCCTGCGCTGCCTGGAAGGTCAATGGCCATCTTCTTCCTGCACTAGGATCAGGCTGAAATGGGAGCAAGATGGGTGGATGGGAATGCATCTGCACTTCCAGGCATTTGCACAAATAGACTCCAAGTACCTACCACACA